TGGCATGTTTTCTGTCCATATGCTTTTAGTTTTTTGAAGGTTACCCAACTGTAATTTGTGTCTATCTGAGTGGGAAACAACAACAGTTCCCGTAAGACACAACTACACCCACACGTCCTGCAACTTCACTTACTGAGCGAGAGCCACTACCTCCTTCTCCACCAATGGGCCAATGATAAAAAACCACCAAGAAGAGCCAGAATCATCTTTGACTGCTTTTCACAAACAGTTAACAAAGATCTAAATACAACAAGGCCACGATGCCTTGGAGACAACAGACCAACACAGTCAAAACAAAGAAGCAGGATAAAGTGATAGAAACAAGGGAGCAGGATACCAACCCAGAACACATTCCTGAGGAAGCAGCAGCATTGGATCTCTCTGATAAGAATTCAAAAGAATTACCTTCAGGTATCTTCAAAGGATTGAGAGACAGGCCAAAGAAAGCACAGAAAAAACCTTACAAGAATTTTGGAAGAAAATACAAGAACAAAATGACAAAATCAATGAAAAATTAGAAATTATTTTAAATCTACAGATAGAAATTCAGAAGATTAATACTAAATTGTCAGAAATAGATAACACATTGAAAGGGCAAAGGACAAGAATTGATGCAATGGAAGACAATTAATGAGATTGAAGACAAATACCTCAATACTTCTTTGGAAAAGGATCAATCAGAAAAAAAATCAAAACAAAATGAAGAAAGCCTAAGGTTCATGGGGGTACCATCAAAAGGAATAACTTACATGTCATTGGAATTCCGGAACAGGAAGAGAAAAACAAAACCACTGAGAAAATTATCCAAGATTTGCTCGAGGAGAACTTCCCTGATATGACGAAAGATGAGAATATATCCATTCAGGAAGTCCAACAAACCCCAAATAGGATAGACCCCAAAAGAAAATCACCAAGACACATCATCATCATCAAACTCATCAAAACCAAAGACAAAGACAGAATCCTGAAAGCAGCACAGGGAAAAAAAAGTTACCTACAAAGGACAGCCAGTAAGAATAAGCTCTGATTTCTCAGCAGAAACCATGCAAGCGAGAAGGCAATGGAATGGTATATATAAAACCCTGAAAGAGAAAAATTTTCAACCAAGAATTATATATCTGGCAAAACTGTCCCTCAAATATGATGGTATAATTAGGAGAT